AGTCAGTTTATTATGAGACTGTACGTGCCTATGATCAAATATTTAAACAGCATAGAAGTAAAAGTGAACGTGGCTTTCCTCATTTGTCCAGCACCATTCCTAAGAATGTTAGAAAAGTATCTCAGATGTGGTTTTAGATTCTACACGTATACAAATATATATATATATATATATATATATATATATATATATATATATACACTTTTCATCCACTGTGGAATCATGACATAGTAAATGTTTTGCAGTTTGCTTTTTATGAATAATATTCATTAAACCTCTTTCCATGGAAGCACTGTATCTATAGATCAAGCTTTTATTCCTCATTAGGTTGCACACCGTGACGTTTTCCTGTAGACACTATTGCAAAGAACATTCTTTCACTTGTTATCGGTGTCACCTATGTAGGTTGCCTGTAGCATAAATTTCTAAAAGCGAAGTTACCGGGACAAAATGAGGTGGATGCTTCATCATGACGCCTGGAATAATGAATAGCATTTTTTGTTTTTATATAATTTTATACTATAAAATGACAAAATATATTATTTTGTAATATGTATAAATACACTAATACTTTTTAAAGCATTCGCTTTATTTGTAAGACTAAACTGGCAGTACCGTAGTTAATTAACAAACATGGCACCCTTACTAAGAGGGTATTCACTGTGATAGATATTTTGAATCCTGTTTCACAATCTTAGAAGAGAGGGAAAATAGGCTCTATTAAAGCTACATCTTTTTCTCTTTAGAAAACAAATTATTTGCAGCTGAAAGCAGTACTCAGCTTTGAAGGTTAATGCCCTTTGTCCATCAAAGGAAAGCAATTGCTTTTATTCTGTTTCAAAAGTCTCTCTCTCCCCTCCCTCTCTCTCTCTCCCTCTCTCTGTGGTCAAATCCAGTGTTGCTGATGAATGGAGAAGGGGCAAAGATGGAGGTCTAGAAGCTCATAGAAGACTAAACTTTAGCCAGCCAGGGAGATGTTCAACTCTGATGCAAGAAACAGCCCTGCCACTGGTGACCATTGGTAAAGGTGTCCCCTTCCCTTAGCATGGGAAAGATGGTGCCTCCAATCTGAAAGTCAGGAGGTCTCTCAAGGACCAACACTATGTCCCAGACAGCACACAAGAGCAGTGATCTTAGCAGTGGGGACGAGAATCCCAGGTGGCAGCCATAAAAGAGTAGAAGCAGCGAAGGCTCCTCACAGCCTGGTCCTTGGACCCCAGGGCGCAGGGATACCAGGAACCGGAACTGGCCTGGGGTGGAGGCCCCTGCCCTGCGGGAGAGGCCCCTGCCCTGCGGGCCTAGGGCTGGCGCTGGCAGAGGGTCAGCTGGTTTCGTGTCACTGGTGAAAACTTTGCTTGTTGTCTTCCCTGTCGAGGCGGGAGGTTTGGGAAACAAACACTACTGTTGAATGCTATAGATTCACTGCTCCATGTACAGCAGCGTACAACCTTTGCCAACCATGGCTTTGAGAATTCACATATAAAAAATCTGGACTTTTGTCCTTGATGGGGTGTGGCACCAAACCCAGGGCCTTGCCCGTGCTGGGCAGGCTCCCTCTTGATCTGCTCCAGCCTCAGTGCCTGCTCTGAAGAGAACACAGTAACAGAACCTTCCTCGTCTGCGTCCACAGGCAGGTCGAGGTGTCCGGGCAGATAAACGAGCAGCACGTGTCCCTCAAGCCCATGGTCACTTATAAAGCACATATTGAGGCTTTGGAAATGAAAGAAGGGCAGATAGGGTGCCACAGATGTTCAGTATTATCCCAAATAAAATCCCTCATGAAGAGGGATTGATTGCCACCAGGGAAACCCTGACTGTGTTCGGGTGAATGATTAGTTGTAAAAGCTAAAACTATACCTCCATAATGGATCTGCTTCATTTTTCCCTTTCTCTGATGCCTTTGATTTTTCCAGCCTGGATGTTTACTGGGACATCCTGCCTCACGGGTTCCCTGATTGATTCCTGGGATTGGCTTTTCCTTGTCGGGCAGGTTTTAGAGCCTGGGACCTTGGCGAGACCCGGTGCTTTTGACTGCTTGGCCCCTGCTTGCCTTTGCCTTCTGCCCTGGGTTTCTGCAGGGGAGTGGATTCAGACAACCCTCCAATCAGCCAGCAACCCTTCAGACTTAATCATGACGATTGCAGGGTCTGGAGACACCACCTGGTAACTGATAACGGGAACACCCGCAAAGCTCCCGCGGAATCAGGCCTTGGCATGGGCCGCATTGTCATACCAGCGCCACACTGTGCAGCCACGTGCGGCTCTTCCTGAGCTTGCTTTTAGCAAAAATGTGTTTTTTACCTGCTCTATCCCAAACTTGCTTGATAATAAGTTCTCCAGCTTACCTAATGTTGTGAAGAAGCCTCAGGTTTAATCTAGAGTTCTCTTCTTGCCCCCAAAATCATCACTTGCATTTAGGCACGAGCCCTTCCTCCACGCACCCCAGTACCCCCAGTGTGAATGCTGTCTGCGCATTTTCCACTCGGAGTGGGGCCCATCATCATTTCCTGTGGATAGGCGCTGGTCTTGACTACTCCACACTCTGCAAAGCATGCACACTCTGTCCTTGTTCAATAGAAGTCCTCACTCCAACGGTATGCCACGTCTAAAGGGATAGAAAAAGCATTTAAATGCTTCCAGCAGCTCTTTTATTGTTATTGCCTTTTTGCTCAGAGCCCACAGAACACTTTTCTTGTATTAACAGATTTTTCTTTTTGTCTACATAATAATCCTTCCTTTGCTCCTGATTTTCCCCTTAAAATTAGCCATTTGTGGAACATTTCCAAAATCTCTGAAGTTCCCTAAGCCCTGACCCTTGGCCATTTCCCTTTGTGTACAGAGACGGGGCGGTGAAGGGAGCTTGAGAACCAGGAACGGTCATGTTCTGCACATTTGTGAGCTGAGTGTACCGGAAGGGGAAACAAAAGTGGAACCCTGCATGAGGTGAGTTTACCTTTGTCCCTCTAGTCCTTAGGTGTCCTTCACGGAAAGCCTCGCAGTGCAGAGCCTGTCTGGCAAGTGGCCTGACCTCAGAGGCAACCCTAAGGTGCCTCTAGACCCTGGCCTGTGCAAGTGTCCTCTGAGCTCGGCCCTCTGCACTCTGCTCTCCTGGCTGCCCAGGCTCCATGCTGGGCGCGGTCCACAGCCTCCCTCAGGCCTGAGCCATAGCACCTCAGTGCATTAAAGCTGTAAAGAAACAGGGCATTTTCTTTACTGCACTGGGCAGAAACATCAGCTTGTTGTCTCTAACTGTTGTCCTATTTATTTCACAGCCAGTCTCAGAAAATGGGCTGGCTCCTTGCTACTCCCATACAATGTAAGAACTTGTTTCCAAAGAGCAGAGAAAATTGACTAAGATCCATGGTTAGATGACAGATGGATTCTGTCGCATTGCCAGAGACATGAAACGCAGGTGACACCTGATATATGATAATAAAGAGCACCCGTCCGGAGTCAGCCCTTGGCCTTTATTTCTGTGATGTGGTCAGCACACAGGTGGCTTATCTGAGAATCCCAGGGGAGCGCTGAGCTCTGTCAAGGGCCGCACTGGGCGACCGGTGTCCCCTGGCTGCCTGATCTCCAGCGTGATGAGTTTGGGTTATGGCCATTCCCAACTCCAGTTGGTTAACTAGCAGTTATCGGAAGGTTGTCTGTGATGCTGTCTGTTTGCCTCCGTTGTTAGTCTTGAAGTATGAAGCTAACATGGTAGTTTCTTTATATAATTAATTGTCATATCAGTACCTGTAGGAGCAAATTTACGTCGTTTATCATAAATAAGAAACATGAGAAAGAACATCCACCTAACACTGGCCGAGATTTAGATTGCTCTTGGTGCTAAGATTATGAATTTCTGGCTCCATTTATTTCATAGGTAAAGCACATTTTCCGTACGATTTGTTGGCATATTAAAAGTATTCATGAGGAGGTGCTGCTCTTGCAGCTGTATATGGGAAGGGGGCAGTTGGCCTATTATTTATTCTACTCACTTCAGTTCCCTCTCTTTAAAAAAAAAATGCAACGAGTTTATTTAATTTGAGGCCTTGTAATAAAACAACCATTCCTGGAACTGAAAACACCGAGAGTTCAGGAGAATCAGCTTCACACACTGGATGGCATCTGCATTATCTGCAATCTGCTACAGCTCCCTCCTGTGCAAGAAGACAGTGCAACCAATGGGGATTACCGAGGCTCTAGGCCCAGGCCCTCTGGCCCTGAGACCCTTCCCTGCTTTGAATCTCAAGTCCTAGCTATGTGGATCATTGGATCATTGCCGATTCACCCGCCAGGAGAGAGAGCTGCAAAGTCTGTGTTAACCACTGGAGTTGGCACAGCCACGCAGAGAGGGACCGCTGTTTTCAAAGCCATGTTCCTTAGCAGTGTGTCCTACAGCCTGGGGACAGTGGGTGGCATTTAGGGGCCTGTGCTCACCCGCCTTGCTGAAGGCTGTTAATCCCCTGTCAGGCCAGCGAAGGAAAGGTGGTGTCACAGCCTATCTATTCTGTCATCATTCTGGATGTGTCAGCTTCTCTGTGACTGTGACAAAGCCCCTGAGGCGTTTCACTGATGAGCAGAATGGGTGTGTGGGGGCTCAGAGTTTTGGAGGTTCAAGTCCGCATCATGTAGCCCCATAGCTTTGGGGGCAGGAGGCAGCACATTGTAATTAGAGCATGTGGAGGAGTCAAAGCACTCACGTCCTGGCTGAGGAGCAAAAGAGAGAATAGGAAGGGACCAGGGTCCCGCAGACCCCTGGGAGAGCATTGTCCTCATACCTGAAGACATCCCACAATGCCCAGCTCCCAGGAGCTCCACCCCTCCTTGTAACACCCTTCAGGACAGCTTTTAACACAGGGGCCTTTGGGTACAGTCACCATCCTGACTGGAGAATTCTGTCCTGGCCTCCAGAGGTCCGTGTCATTCCGTGTGTTCATTCCATCCCTCGGGTCCTTGGAGTTTCTCAAGATCCAAGTCCAAAGTCTCCGCCAAAACTCAAGGCAAACTCAGCTGTGAGCCTGTGCGGAAGTGGAAGAGAAAGCTCTGAGCTTCTGAGACTGGTGATGGAAAAGGCTCAGGGTACACATGCCCATTCCAAAAGAGAGGCGTCGCGGAGCAGCAAGGGAACTCAGCAGGGCAGACATTATGCCCTAAATCTCCGCGTCCGGCATCCAGAGCACGCTGTGTAAGAGGTGAGATCTCAACCCTGGGAGGCTCACCTTGTGTCAGGGAGTCAGAAGAGGGAACGGAAGAGGTCCCTGTCTCTCTTCAAGGCACAGCTCCAACGGCCGCAGGACCTTCCTTTAGGCCCCACTCCCAAGCCTTTACCACGTGCCAGTGCCTCCTCGGGGGCACCCGACACTCAGCCTGCAGGCAGAGCACGGGAGTCTCCCAAGCCGCACCCCACTGTCCTCTCCCACACGGGCCTGTGTCCTCACTGCCTCGCTTCCATTTGTCTGTGCCGGGCACATGTGGCTGACAGCATGCGCTGCACAGGACTACCATCAGCTAAAGTATTGACGTAGCACAGATTATCTGTGTCCATTAAGTTTATTGTACATTTTAGGTATAAATACAGTTACATTGATCATTGGGATCCTGCACCTTTACATGAGTGTCTTGGTTCTTATTTTCCCCCCTTCCCATGCCCTCCTTTCACCCCTCCACCCTCCCTATTTACAAGGACTTTGTTTCCATGTTTCCATTTTCTCATACTTTTTCTTTTCCCTTCTTTCCTTTCCCCTACTCTTCCCACTTCCTCAATTCCTTTAGAGCTTTTCTTCCTATTTCACATTATCAATTATATCATTTGAACCTTATTGACACTTTCATTACTGAAGAGGATGGCCTCAATATGCATCCATTTAGCTCTAAATGTCTCTAGTTTCTTGTTCTTTATTATGGCTGAGTAGAACACCATTTTATAAAA